TTCTGATCACTTATACTGGTTTATGTTTAATTTCTGCCCCTAGTCTTAGTCAAGAGCTTTTCTACTAACACAACTAACAAGGACACTAACTGATGTTAATGGTGACTGCAATATTTTGTGATGAATACACATGACCTGGACTGAGACCAACAGTTCATTTCACAGAGGCCAAACAGATGCATACTGCATAGCAACTACTTACCTAAGTCATTTTCAAAGAAAGCTAAAGAGAAAAAACTTGGTATCCCATAATGATACTTAGATTTACATAGAGTTTTAATTGGTCAAAGACATTTACAATCATGAACTAATTCATCTTCTTAAAATGATATATGTTCCCGGACTCTTCTACACATTTTTTCAATGTCTTAGTAATTTTTAAGGCGTACATTTATTTTTTTAAATAATTTATAAGTGAGTGAGGACTATAGGCTTTGTGGCTTTGTAAAGAGCTTTTGGTTACATTAGGCAGTTACATGGTCTTTGTATACATATGACATATAAATAAAAATGAGATGAACATCAGTTTTTATAATTCTTTTTTATTATAAAAAATTGCTATTGCCACAATACAAGAGAAAGAGAAAAGACTATATAGTTGCATACTATGAGGCCAGCTTTATGTTCGTAATTTTTTTGTTTTTAAAAGTTTTTAAAAGTTCCACTTGCATTTTTAGAATTTCCCCGAGCTACTGAGTAAGTATATTCAGTTTGTTCACATTTGTTCATATCTCACAATGTATAATTCCAGTGACTTGGGTGCTATCTCCATACTATTTGAGTGATTCACAAAATGGCAGGAGAAAAGCTACCTAATTCTGACAGCAGGTTATTTTACATTTGGATCTCTCATCCTCTTACTCTCTGTTATAAAAAGATGCCTTCTTTCTAGTTCCTATTAAAAGAAATACCACCAATTTTTAGTTTAGTGTGACTGAATTTTCTACTCAAGAGATTAGAAGTTATGGGAAAACTGTGTGGAAGAGACACATTTTATAATTTGGCCTGAATGTGTCACGATTCAAAGTCACTTCAATCTCTTACCTCAGTGTGTTCTACCTTGGGCCAATCACCAGAAAAGCAATGAAGCCCATGTCCATTCTTAGCCCTGTTTTTGAACACTCCTATGTTGCCAATGAGCAAACTGTCATGGAAGGTCATATTGTTACAATGAGAAAGGGAGGAGAATAAGCTTTGAAATAGTTTAGGCTCAACCCTCTAGGGCTTTGAGTAACACTTAATTTAAATTAAATTAACTTGTAACTCTGACGTGTATATCAATGCAGATAAAAAAGGGTTAGGGTGATGTGTATATGAACTTGTATGACTAAGTAGTTAGCCTGCTACACTAATCATTAGCTGGAGTTAGTCAGGACTTTCAAATTAATTTTTAAACACAGAGTTTTGTAATAATGGATCTTGGAAATCATCAGTGAGTCTGTTGGGAGTATGAGAGGGAATGTGGGTAAAATACCTGATCTTATCTATTAAGTAGTAATTCAATAATTTAAGATGGTTGAGCACTACTGGTAGTAGCTGCTTATCAAGGTATCTAGCACACTGAAGAGACCAGTCTGTACACCATTGTGCTGAATGAAAAAGAGATACCCTCTAAAGATAAAGACTTGCCTATTCTTCTCTATTCAGGGTCCTCACCTCAATCTTGGTAGGGTTAACCTTACCAAGGCAGCACTCTCAATTGTGATAGTCAAAACTGCATTTGGAAGGAGGGCCAGGATTTCATGTGAAGAAATGAAGAGTGAGGAAAAGAGAGCCAGTATCTAGGATACTTTTTTTATTGAGGCCATGTTGTTCAAAATGTCAGACAAGTCTGCAGAAGGAAAGACACCATTGTGTTCCAGAGCACTACTGCCATTTTGGGGAGAGAGAATAGTGCTAATGAATCTAGACTCTCTAAACAACAGGGAAGGATCAAGATGACAGTACTTCCCACTGTGTCTGGCACAGACGACACATAAGTGTTGACCATGGGGTGGGGGGCACAACTCTGTGCTGCTGCCACCACTGCTGCTGGGCGCCGGCTGCAGCTGGGGTGCAGCCTGCACCCCGTTGTCAGTGTATAAATCTGGGGTGACACATGCCCCCCACAATGCATCGTCTATAGTGTCTGGAGTTGTTCCAAAATGAGCTGCTGCGAGGAACCAAGATTATAAATTGAAAAGCTTTTTTCCCACGTTTCTCCTCAAATAAATCAATTATTTTTTGGTAAGTGTTGGCCAAGCACTTAACTAACTGTCCAGTGATCAGGGGTCTAAAGATTAAGTTGGAATCATTTGTTTATTTTTCTTTAAAAGATGGAAGACTTCCAATGAGGCTTTGCATGTGTGTAGTAAGTTGCACTAACATTAGTGTTTGTTTAAAGAAGAATCGGGCCTGCTGAACCACAGACTGAATTTCTCCAGCTCCTTGGGTTCTCTGAATATGCAGGATTAAGTGGCGATGTTTTCATACAGATAAGGCTCTCTAATTTGCAATGCTAGTTTTGATTTTTCATCCTTTCCCTGAACACTTCTATCACTCTGGCATAAAAAGCCCCGCATCTAAATTCTGTACCAAGGCTGACTGCTAGAGTACAGTGGTATCAAATTGCATGACAATGCAATTTCTGTTGCAGCTTCAGCTTACTTCAAAACCCATTTTTTAACCTGAATTCAATAGGCAACTGGGTAACACATCAATATGGTGACACTGTGTTATTTATTTTGGTCTTCAGCTTTCCACTATGGAAGGTTTTTGAAATTATTTTATATTGCCCCAGAATTTTCAATAGCTCATAAACATTTGTCTTGAAAAACTGAGTATACATTTTTCTCAGGATGTGGAGGCTGGAGAATGCTGCATATTAAGGGACAGGTCAAGAAGTGATTTGGATTGAGAACAAGCAGACGAAATTTGAAATTTGGACACATTAATTCTATTTGTATCTAAGAATGATGGGGATCTGAATTCTATGGCATGGTAAGATTTAATTATTTCCCTGCCCAACGGACCCTTCTCAGCAATCCTTCAGTTTCCCTGAGGTGGGGAGGCTCCCACTGCATGGGCCGAACCCCACCATGGGGGCCAGCACCTGGACGGGGGCTCCTTCTCCCTCTGTGAGGAGCCAGCAGGAGGTTGGGGGTTTGTGCTGGGCAGCCAATCAGGGTTGGCCACTGCTTGGCTGGGCTCAGCAATGGCTGACAGGTTTGGCCTGGGTCAGTGCAGGCATCTGGTTGCCTTTCCTGATGGAAAAGTGAACATCAGTTCATTTCATTATCAGTGCAATCTGCACAGGTAAGAGAATCCTGCAAAGATTGAACTAATTCTGCCTCAGGCTTTTTGATCGTCTGTTCTTAGCCCAAGAGTCCAGCCCACCATAGCCTGGACTCATTAAATAAGGTCCTGCCAACACCTTTAGCCATCTGTGCAAAGACAGCCACCATTAGCTACAGCATTGTCACTAGGGTGGCCATCATAGAGGACAGACCAGTTGTCCTCTGTTCTTTATTGATACGAAACTGGACGCCTTTATGTCTTCTATTTTCCTCTTGAAGAGAAAAATAGAGGACAAAAAGGCATTGGTTTCATATCAAGAGGACAGAGTAGCAGAAGACCGGAATGTCCTCTATGATGGCAGCCCTAATTGTCACCCATCAGGCTAGCAGTGCAGGTATATCGTGGTTCTCCTTTGAGGCTTACTGAGAATATGTCAGTTGCTTTTCCCAGTCCCATTCAGATTTCTCTGTCCTGTCCCAATTTCCCTTCTTTCTGCATTGCCAACCATCTTGGATTAGCTTTAATACTGGGGACAGAGGATTCCTGTAGGCGAGGAGGTCCCCAAGGGACCTCCCCTTCTAATTTCCTTATTCAAGAGTTTTTCTGTTTTGCAACTTTCTACCATCTTTCCTTTCTCATCCAGTCCCTCTATTTTGGCCTTTCTTCTTCTTGCTGTCTGCTAACTTTACTGCTTAGTTACATGTTGTATCCAGCTATTCAGCCCTGCACATGCACAGCCACTGCTTAATTGTAATTAGCACTGCATCTGGACAAAATTACTACCTTCTGAAAATCCTGAAAAAACGGAGCTGTAGTCCCTCTGGTTTCTGTGCCAGAAAGCGAGCAACATGAAAAGTATCAAACTGCAATTCTCAAGCTCTGCTGAAATCTAAACTTCTATTTTCATTCTTTTTGATGAGGTCATCCTCCCTGGCAGAGAAACCAACCCAGCTCAGCTTTCTCAGGATTTCAGGGAGGCAATTTTGTTAGAACAGAGCACTAATTACATTATTAAAGAGCTGACACGTGCTATTTTCCCCTCTGGAGATCCCACAAGACTTGACTTAAATGATTCAGAAAAGCCTTTACAATTCACCTTTAGCACCTGGGAATTGACTAGCTGACTCTTCCAGAGCTTTTCAGTGCGGGCTGGTGAGTGCCAGTCAGGAAGGAAGGTGTTCCAGCTGCTGAGAAATAGGGCAGGTTCCTGCACAGCTCTCCTCCCTGATGCAAAAGTCCCCTGCATCTGTTTGCCACGTATCGGCTAATGCATAGGAACAACCGACACACGGTAAAATCCTATTGACGATAAGACATTTTTGCACTTTTCATGTAAGTTAGGCTGAATTAAAGAAGAGTCTTGGTTTTACCTCACTTAGCTAACAGACTTAATAATAACTAGCCTGTTGTCCTCCTCTGCATTTTACCATTTGGTAACTAACATGTGGTCAACAAACCTATATTTTTCCTAGAGAAGACAAGGCCCAAGAAATGACCTGTTCCTCTTGCTGGAAGCCTTCAAGTCCTTGTTCAAGCTGTCAATCAGCAGCAGCTCAGAATGCAGGGAAGACTCAGTATCGAGGCAATGGAAGCAAGCAGGTGGGCAGAGGCTGCAGTCTACTGGGGAATATCTTCAGGTGCTCATTAAAAAGGAGTTCTAAGGGAAGACAGGCAGGGAGGAGGGATCTTATTATGTACAGGGATGTGTGTACAAAAGGGCAGGAGGGAAGAAGTAGGCTTCATATAGGTTGGATGGAAGGAAGGAAGAGAAGTATAATCTTAGTGCAACATGCCTAAGAACCAAACATTATTTTTCATCACTCTAAAATCTTACATATTTTTAAAGGAAAAATCAAATGCTTATAACAGAAAGAACTAGGAATGAGACTAATTTCTACACTTGTTTAGACAGGGAACAGAGAGACAAAGCTGGCTACTTTCTCATCTCCCTCATCTAAGCTTTTAAGCTAAAAGAAGAGCAGCACAAGGTAAATTTTACGAGGAGACGGCATTTGTAAAGATGTGCATTCCGTGTGAAACCACCTTCGGGGAGGGCATTTATGTAGGAAGCCAAAGTTAAGTGGAAAATCAGCTCATATTAGGAAAGCAGTGTGAGTCATGTTGCTGATTACTGAGAAAAAGAACAAGTGGCACAGTGTTTAAGCATGGCACAGAGCTGGCAGGCAGGAGGTTAAATGAAATGCCATTCTGGTGTACATGAAAACCAAAAGCTAATCAGCTGGTCTGGATGACTGAGGACAGAGTCTTATGTTAGAAGTGTAAAATAAAACCTGTAGCACTTTTAACCTCCTCCTCCTCCTTCACACTTGTATTAAAATAAAGGTCTGAATGTTGTTTTTTTTAAATGAGTCCCTTTTCACAGCTTAATCAATCTCTGGCATTCTTAAGAAAAGCTCTATGCTTTTCTCACTGATTTTTTTCTT